GAGAGCACTAGTGCTAATATAGAGCGGTGGGGTTCTTATCCACACGACTCGTAGCAGGTGAAAGCACTTGGCTAGCACGAGGGGACACTATGGGTGGGTGAGAGGGGCAACAGAATTCTGCGGCGGCAGCAGCCTCCCCAGCCATGGATTTCTTTCTTACTGCTGGGACACTCTCTGGAGTTGCAATGACTTCACCCGTTGACTCGTGTAACATTTCCTCGTCTGTTTGAGCCTGAGCAGGAGTTGCTTTGTGTTGTAAAATTTTCGCTCGGGCCACGTTGTAATCACCGGAGTCGAAGAATTTGTGCTATAAATTAGTTTTATTTATACTTGAGCATAAACCAATGAAAATCGACATAAACTTGCAAAGGCGAAAAGGGGTAGATGGGAAGGATGACACAAGAACACCAAAATTCTAAGGTTAGGATAGACAGCTCATAAAAAAAGATAATCACAGTATACAGGGACGAAGGAAGACGACTACGAGAAACTACTAAGGAGTTTTAGTGTTCCTGATAGAAGGTTACCACTGAATTACAACGACGGGCACTTTCAGTCCGATCGCAGTACTGGACTCCAATGAGGCCGATGTTGAGATAATTGTGGTTCGCTTGTCATCCAAATTACTGAAACAACAGTTCATGTACCTCACATTTACACGTGAACAACGGCTCCCCCTTGCTTTACTTGTAAGAAAGCTAACTCGTGCACATTTTGGTGCATTTTAGGCATAATAAACCCGCTGCAACATCCACAAAGGCAATTCCTGCTCAAATTTCAAACTAAGGAAAATATGGGGAAGGTGCAACTGGTGATGGAGGAAGGTCCTTTACACAAGGTGTAAAAACCACAAGCAAAGAAGTAAAATTTAGCATCTAGAAGTACTCGAGAATTAAGAACAAATGTGCGACAATAAAACAATAATTGTGCCAGGTTTCGCTATATTCGGTATCCCAAGTAAGGACAAAGATGATGATAGAGCAAGGTGCATAATCAACTAAAGGACACAAAATCGCTTGTCTGTTTGCATCATGCATTTCATCCAGAAGTACATTCGCACATTCAAGGCGACTGCGTCGCCGCAGTCAAGACTACTAATTGGACCTAATGCTGGGCCTGTCAAAAATTTGAAAATAATTGTGTCGCCCTCTCATTCCGAAAAAGAAAGCTGTCGTGCGGGAAAACGACAGGCAATCAGGATACACAACACCGATAAAATGAGACGCTTTACGGCTAAATATTTGGAAAAACTACAGAACGCCGTCATATGATGGCCGAGACGATATGAGACAACGCGCGAACACTGGCGCTTTCTGCTTAAAGTTCTTAAGAAGATAAAGAGAACCAAACGAATCACAGAACACAGGGGCATATCATAATAGGTAGAGAAGAAGACAAGTCGATCGCCGGAATCGAAGTTTTATTCGTCTGAGCTTTCAAACTCTTATTGGAGTCCATCCTCAGAGATAAAAACGTCAACGAAAAACAAGCAACAGTTATAGGAGACAGGGGCTTTTATCTCAGACGATGGACTCCAGTAAAAGTTCGAAAGTTCAGAAGAATAAAACCATTATTCCGGTGATCGACATGTCTTCTTCTCTACCCATACACACACCTAGGATACGAATAGTCGCCTCAATATAAACCATCAGTTGGGCAGTTTCAGGAAAACCACCATTTAAAACATATCCGTTCATATGAGGGACATTTAGCATACCCTATCAGAGAGACATCCCCAACAGCATCACAGCAACAGCATCACAACTGCTAGCGTTTACTGTTAGTATGTGGCTAGCTTTATTAAACGAACCTTGTCGGTAGTGCCTGCAGAAACAGTCCGCCCAGCATTCCGTTCGGGTGATTGACCTTAGAGGCGGGTATGTTGCGTTAAGAGTGACTTGCTCGCGCAGACGATCAAATGACAAGTCTCCCACAAACGCGAAAATACGAACTACTATTGCCAGACTAGCATGTGTGCAATGAGCTATTGGGACGTGAGGAAAAATATCGGTCACAGCTGACATCCACCCACAGGGAGACACAAAGAAAACATCATCCCAGAAGCAAAAAATATATACACAATAGACAATGACCGAAAGCACAAATGCGGCTACATATTATCACGAATTAATAAACTTACGCCGCGGTTTAATCGCTTTTGCAACAGTAACGATCCAGCTCCTTTTTGAGCCAAGCCAGGATATTTCGACTTAAACTTCAATTCTTGCTCTTCTTCGGTAGTCTAGAAATTAGTTTGACGTATCAATCAACAAACCACATGGGGCCCAACTTCCGACGCTGACATGATCATAAAATTAACGACGCGGAGTTGAACCAACCGCGTTTTTTTCCGCAAAATCATTGGTCCG